TGAAATCTTTCGAAAGTACGTTACAGTGAATTGTATGTGACACTGGTCTTTCTTCTTTGAATAACTATGCACAGCTGAAATAGTTAAAGAAACTAAAGAAAGCATTATTCGCACAAAGAAGAACCACAGAATCATACAAATGCTTCAGTCGACAAAGTGAAAACACCCAAAATCCACCATTAGTATAGTGAACAACAAATATGTAATAAATTGCTGTTGTAAAATTTTGAGAATAAGCAGATTATTAAAATGAGAGAGTTATCGTCTGAAGAGATTAATTTTTGTTAGGGCTGAAAGTCTTCCTTTAATTCTGAAATTAATACAGAATTTAAGGGAGCACGTTGCATCAGCAGAATTGGTTTGAAGAAGAGAACAGATACATGAAAAAAACCAGCGGAACAGATTTGAGAAAACAACAGAAAATGCAGCAGAAACAGGGATAAACCAGCAGAGAAATAAAATGGAAACCAAGGAATAAAGGTTCCAGTTCAACTAATTTCTGATTGATTTAGGTTGCTGAATTCTACCTTAAAGAATCATGTTTTACAATCTCCACCTTGATTCTTGAGGAGAATTTACAGGCTAATTGCAGCTTGAATCTCAACTTCACTTCCTTTCAAAACATAAATACTTTGTTGTAGGACTCCTTTCATGATCACCATGGACTTTTACATTGCATTTAACACTCCACCTTGAGCTTTATACACACAACCAGCTTAGTCAAGTGCTCTAAGTAAGATTAGATTTCTTTTCAGTCCTGGTACATGCCTTACTCCACCTAGAACTCTTAAAGATCCATTCCATATTTTTATCTTGATAGAGCCAACACAAATCACTTCACATGTGTTGTCATTTGCCAATAGCACTTTGCTATCATCAACCGGTTTGTAATCAATGAAAAGTTCATTTCTTGGTGTGATATGAAATGGACAACTTGAGTCCATTATCCAAACCTTGTTGTGGCTTACTCTTGTTGTAGCAAGGACTTCAACCTCTTCACAATCTCTAAATGCATTAGCACAATCTCCATCTTACTTGTTGTTTTCTTACTTCATCCACCTCTTGTTTCTTTGTGGACAATGTTTCCTAAAGTGTCCTTCTTGATAACAAATCTAGCACACTCTCTTTTCTTTCTTTCCTTGCACACTCAACACTTTTCTAGTCATCTTACCATTCAATTTCAGGTCCAATTCCTTTGAGTAGACTGCTGCAGCAACTTCTTTTAGGGTTAAGGACTCCTTGCTATACTTGATGGCGTCTCTTAGATGATCATAGGCTAGTGGTAATGAATTTAACAACAAAATGGCTTGATCCTCTTCCTCAATCTTGATTTCATGATTTTCCAAATCTGAAACTAGCTTTGTAAACTCATAAATATTGTCATCAATTGTCTGTGATTCATCCATTTTGAAGCTATAGAACTTATGCTTCAAATAGATTCGGTGTGGTAAAGCTTTAGTCAAGTAAAGCTCTTCTAGTTTACCCCACATTTCAAAGGTTGTCTTCTCCTTTATAACTTTTCTTAAAACCGTATCAAAGAGGCTAAGGATGATGGTATTTCTTGTCTTCTTCAAGGTGTCAGCCTGTTTGGAAGCCTCAGTTTCAAATTTTTCTTTCAAGGCTTCTTCCAATCCAATATTGCCAAGGTGTGCCATCATCTTTTCCCTCCATAGGTTGAAATCCTTCTTGCCATCTAATTTTTCCACTTCAAACTTGGATGTTGACATGGTGTGATTAAGATTCTGGCAGGAATCTTTATTCACAAATGATGTATGCAGCCAGTTAAGAAAAAAATAAGGCAGAATTTCAGACTTGATTTGTAGCTTCTTTTTCAAGTTGTCAAGGTACAGCTCCGATACCAATTGTTGGGGATGAAAGACTTCCTTTAAGTCTAAAATTAATACAAAATTTCAATGAGCACGTTGCACCAACAGAATTGGTTTGAAAAAGAGAACAGATACAAGAAAAAAACCAACAGAATAGATTTGAGAAAACAATAGAAAATACAGCAGAAACAAAGGGATAAACCAGCAGCGAAATAAAATTGAAACCAGCAAAAAGAAACACAGAGAACAGATTGAAAACAGTTGGAATAAAGGCTCCAGTTCAACTGATTTCTAATTGATTTTAGTTGCTGAATTCTACCTTAAAGAATCTTGTTTTACAATTTTGTTGCTCACTATTCATAGTATCCTGCATATTTCCATCTCTCAAGTGTCCTCCTGCATTGGCGTTACTCTTTTTGCTTATCTCGTGTTATATTTCAGAACTTTTATTACTATTTGTTGGAAATTGGTTTAGCAGATTGAAAATTTGGTTAAATGTCAAAACCAAAAACTTGAAAAAGTCAACTTCAACTAAATATTCGGACTTGATCCGATTGTCACTTTATTTTTCGTTTGTTCGATATACAACAATCCTTTCACGGTACTTATATTTAGCCCGCATCTTCAACACTATTTAATATTTGATGAACAAAATTAGTTTCTTATGATTATTTTATTATATTTTCGACATTATTACTCTTCTGTTATGTTATTTCATTTTGCTTAATTTTTCCCTTTGAACAGTATGGTAAGGGAGACAATTTACTAGTTGTTCAAGTCTTAATTACAATTTACTGTAAAACAAAAACTGTAGCATACAGAACTACAATAATCTGTTGGGGTCTTGGGATGTAATTGTTCAGATTCTAATGTGTACGTCAAAACCGTGGAAAAAAACACGGTATGCTCAACAAAGTTGGAATCAAGCGTAATACAAAGATAAGAGGTGAGCACAAAATAGAATATTCATACCTCTGTTTCCCGAGGCTGATTTGTTAAAGCATAGTGCCTTACACATAATGATCATACTCTATAATTATAGAGTCAATTTTAGCAATACAACAATCCTATTGCAGTATATAAAACCAGTAAAAATCATTGTTTGTTTCATTGAGTATTTTTGTGGTAGTTTTTGGATTGTCCTCATATATGGATTTTTACTATGGTTGTTTTGAGCTTTCCTCGTAGGAGTAGGATTTTGTTATAATAATTTAAAAAAAAAAAAAAAAAAATCCTTCTTAGTGTGCGATTTAAGGCACCTTGTAAAAATAAAAACACTAGGGTCCAGTGAAAAGGGAGGCTTATGTTCCAATTCTTGGTCTGTATAAATCAAAAGGTACAATTTTATGGTATTCTACATGAATAGATGAGCCTCTGCTGAAGTAGGGATTCTATCCTCAACTAGTTTGAGAGGGGATATCAACTTGCAAAATAAGGAACTGACGCATTTTACTCCATTGTGGTAAGATGGCTAACTCGAGCACCAGGCTTTCTAAAGCCTCACATCTTGAAAAAGATAATCTTGGACAAGCTCGAGTGGTAGATTCTCTAGAGCACAAAGATATGGTGATATTTGCTTTTTTCGAGCCATATCCTAGCCGCTCTGATTTTGAGGCAAGAATTAATGCATTGCATAAGGGTCTGAAAAAAGTTATCACTACACTCATAAAAGAGGCTTACAAAGTGGAAGAAGATAACCCTCACACGGTTGTCTCACGTACTCACAAATCACACGAGCTCGCAAAGATAAATGAGAAAATGACTACCCATCTTTCTTCTCATTACCACACTCTCTCACACCACTCATAGAACAAAAGGAGTATGTCATAGATCTCGACCCACTATGCATGCAAACACATTACACAAAGTAATTAAATCAATCTCAATTCATGCAATTACACACATCAACAGATTGAAAGTGTAGCATAAAACATTGCAACATAATTAAATGATCATACATGCAGAAACGATCACACACAGATGCATATGCAATAACCACTCTCCTTATCTTTTCTTTTATTAACATTTCTAAGACAGTCTATTTCAGCAAGTCCAAATTTACCATAGTTAAAACAAATCTTACTTTTTGCACTTGCTTTAAACCTATATTTGCCATCAACATTTAAAAAAAATAAAAAAATAATTCATTTTGTCAAATTGAAAAATCACATTTTTTCTATTAGGAAAACACAACTCAAAATGTGTTGTCATTTTACCAAAAAATGTACAAAACACAAAATACAATCGACAACGATAACAAGCAAAGTACCAACACAATTCACACGGAATAGTCAAATAAATTTTCCTAATGTTACGTGCAATTCTAATTGTAAAAATTTTGCAACAAATTTACAAAAAATTCGGGGCAAATAATTAATACATAATTCGTAGGTCTAGCAACAGGCAATGGTTACCCCACACAGTAACCTCAAATCTAATGGCACCCCATATAATGACTTCTAATGCGAAAAGTAAATGACTACCCTACACAATAGTTTTAACTGCAATAATAAAAAGTAAAGAACACGACACCGAACGGATCATATCTACGGGTCCGTAAATTAGAAGAGATGTGAATTCACTACTATAGAGCTGCCACTATTTTCCCTAAAGCTTCCAGTAACCGCAGCAATACAAAACGACACCGGCACCCGAACGTCGAAAGACAAAAATGAAATCCAACAACACTGCAAGGTCCGTGATGTTGTCGGCAACATTTTATCTATTAGACCATCCCCAAAATATGCTGCATGCTCACCCTCATGCATCGACCCTGATGCCGACGAGTCAACCTCACAGGCCACTTCTTCCGAAGCATCCGCTCCTACATATCACACCAGTGGTCTCCGTTTGTCCAAAAGGTAAACGATTTGGTCGGAAAACAGGTAGCCCGACCTATGACACGAGCCATTTTGGCCTGGTCAAGCTCGAACTATTGTCCGAAAACGAGGCTCGGCCCGAACCTTGCTCGGTTCCACCAAGCTGCAAACCGAGCCGATTAGGACTTTTATGGGTCAAGTCACGAGCTGTCGAGTGAACGAGCCGAATTGACATCCTCATTAAAATATGAAAAAAAATTCCAATCGTTGTGGACGACTACGCGTGCAAAAATCTTAGGGTAACTATGAAAGTCCACATAATAGTTCAAATCTTCTGGCGGTTTGTAAATGAGAAATGGCTGCTGTAATCACTGGTTTTTCAAGAACTGCCCAAAGAGGTAAGCTTTCGTCACTATTCATACACCCATCAAAATCCACACGCATAACGGACTGCAAATCTCGTACACGAACCAACACGAATGATGAATTAACCTCCTTTCATCACTTGCTCAAAAGGAAACCTTTGCCTCCTATCTCGTCATTTAATAAATTGCTAGCTGCTGTTGCCAAAACCAAGAATTATCAAGATGTGATTTTTATGTACCATAGGATGGTTGAAGTTGATTTATTGCCTGATCTTATTACGCTTAATGTTTTGCTCAATTGTTATTGTAGCTTGAAAAGGGCTGATTTTGGTTTTGCTGTTATAGGTGGGATTTTAAAGAGGGGTTATAGTCCTGATATTTTTACTTTTACTTCATTGATTAATGGGTTGTTTATGGAAGGCAAGATTAGTGATGCAGTAGGGTTGCTCAATAAAATTATTCAACTGGGTATTCAACCAAGTATCAAGACTTGGGGGACTCTGATTAAGGGGTTGTGTAGGAGTGGTAATGCACAGGTGGCGCTTCGGCTGCACGAAGAAGCAGGGAACATGAATGGAAGGTCTTATTTAAGATTTAAGCCTAATTTAATTTGTTATAGCATGCTTATTCATGGCCTTTGTAAAGAGGGGTTGGTAGACAAGGGTAAAAAACTATTTTTGGAGATGAAGGGTAATGGAATTAAGCCAAACTTGATTACATATGGTGGTTTAATTCATGGTTTGTGTGAGGTTGGTAACTGGGAGGAGGCAAAGCGATTCTTTATTGAAATGGTGGATCAAGGCATGCGTCCTAACACGATATTGTTTAATGTTTTGATACAGGCGCTTTGTAAGGATGGGAAGACCAATGTAGCGAGTGGGTTGTTGAACTTGATGATTCAGAGGGGTGAAGAGCCCGATTCTTTTACATATAACACGTTGCTAAACGGATACTGCTTGGAGAATAAGATTGATGATGCAAGGGAGTTGTTTGCTATCATGGAGGCTAAAGGCCATAAGAGAGATGTTGTATGCTACAACGTGTTAATTAATGGGTATTGCAAGTGTCAAAAACTGGAGGAGGCCATGAGGCTTTTCAAACAAATGATTTGTGAAGAATACAAGCCAACAATAATTACACTCAATACCATGTTGATGGGTTTATTTCAAGTAGGTAAAGTTGAGGTTGCACGGGGACTTTTTTCAAAGATGAAAGTCTATGAAGTGACTCCGGATTCTACTACCTGTAATATATTATTGGATGGATTTTTCAAAAATAATTGCCTTGCACAGGCAATGGATCTGTTTTACAATTTGGAAAGATCTGGTTTTGTTCTTGATATTGAAACCTACAGTTGTGTCCTTGATGGATTGTGTAAAGCGGGAAAGCTCGATTCCGCTACTGAGCTATTTGAGAGGTCCCGTAAGAGTTTGGTACCAACGACAGTTACATATAACATCATGATTCACGGATTTTGTAAAACTGGAAAAATGGAAGGGGCATATAATTTGTTTATGGAGATGGAAGAGAAAGGTTGTGCACCTGATCTTGTCACGTTTGACACCCTCATGCAAGGATTTTGCAATTGTAATGACGCACCAAAAATGGTTGAACTTCTTCACAAAATGGAAGAGAGAAATATTTTGCCAGATGCATCCATAGTATCTTTAGTTATAGATATTTTGTCAAAAGATACAAATTGTTCGGAATATCTAAGTTTGATTCCAAAATTTTCTACGAAGGGCTGACTCAATGATTAGAGGGTGCAGGCTTGCAGCTAGCACGAAGAACTTTAGCCTGTCACTCGTGAAAGATTTATCAAGCTTAGGTTGTTGACAGAAATTGGGGAACTCAAAAACTAGTATATTGAAGTCTTGAAATTGGATTATCCTAAGGCAATATTATGAAACTGACCAGTTTTGTTCAGCATTTCCTACCCACAAATTGAAGATTCAGGCAACGAACTCTGACAATGTCACTTTGAGGATTTGACAGTTCCTCTGTCTCTGGTATAGTTATTACATCACGGATTTTAACCCTCAAAGACAGCAATAGTTTGGGATTAATTCCGTTAGTCTACAAATTTTTTGGATCGACAATTGGTCGGCATTTCCAGATCATGTGCAAATCCATGATGGCGAATATGAAGATTTAAACCGAGTCGTAAGAATATGAGCTAGAGCCTAGAAGTGAAATAAGCCCTTTCATTTTTGAGGTATGAGAAATCAAGACTCTGACTTTCATGACAAAAAAACTTTTTGTGTAATTTCTTGTTGGAATATTCTTATATCCTCTAGTAATTCTTTTGTTATTCATGCAGCTCGGTTAACAACTTGAGGTGTTTAATTCAAATTTGGTGAAGAGTAACATGATACTGACAACAAGGGATGGATTTCAATTTGCCCAATGCAACCTCTGTTAATCAACTCTCCCTTTTATGATACTTTGTTTAACATTTGAGCTACATTGCCTGACTTTCTAATCAACTGATAGTTTTACTCAATCAGTATCTTTTACCGACTATTGGAATTCCAAAGGACATAAATCTTTAGGAATAAGTGGCCGAATGTATACTGTAAGGATGTAATTATTTGATGCGGACTGCATAACGTTTTGCTGAAAATGTTGATGCAGGTGATATCTGAGAATTATTTAGTTCATGTCAGGATGGAATAATCTATTGGCTGGTATGATTTAATGTACTTAATTGTGGATACATCAAAATTATCATGTATGTTGTTGAATCCCTTCTTTAGATGACTTCGGTTGTTGTCTTTCTCATTTCCTATTGTTTACACACATCTTCTATTTGGAAGATTAGCCAATTGTTTATACACGAACCTTTGTTCAGCAATTTGACCGCCAATTTAAATACCATGGGAAAATGAACATACCGACTATTGAACTGGAGCAAGTTTCTATACTGTGAGTTCATAAATCTTGTTCGGCGATTCTTCACTTTAGTTTAATCTGATAGAAGATGGCACGTAGATTGGATGGCATTCAAGATTATTTTGTAGAGCTATAGATTCAGAATTTGAGTTGTGAGTGATTAAAAGTTACTTAATTTTATCTTATGAGATAATTATTTTACCACACATTTAACTGCTTATAAGTACAATTTCTGCAAACATTCATTAGTTGTAGGGACTGTTCTGGTGTTTTGACTAATTTCTGTGATTTGAATTATGGCTATTGAGTTGTGTGTAAATGAAAGTAGAGACTACTGAAAGCAACTTGAGTGAAACTCGACTGGTCATCCCCACCTAATGATCACCCATGCCTCTATACTGTACGGATTTGGCAATGAGATCAGCTTTGATATCATATTCTATGCATGCCTGATAGTGTCCTAGAGCTGTGCATATTTTTGGAAGACGAAATGATAGCAAACCTTTGGCACAGAAACGGGAAAGATAAGAACAACGAAGGGAACACGGTTTATATCGGAGGGCGTGGGGAATTATCGGATTCGAGGGCAAGCATGGTTGATCCTTCTGCTACATGATCCGTACTGCACAAATTTCGTGTTCTAGCTCGGCTGTCCTTTTAATCCACTATGCCAACAAACTAAGGTTGGTTGAATAATGGTGAATGTGCTCCCCTTATTCCCGCTCGTTATATGTTACTGACTAGTGGATGTTCGAGTAAAGGAGAGTATTACATCGTGTATGTTTTCTTATCAAGTGGCTTTTGAGTTTTTTTGGCAACTTTTGAAGTGTGTTTCAATCTCAAAATTGAAGCACACGTCATATATCATGTGTACATATAATTAGATCTACCTACGCTATGCTAGGCTTGTGTTTAGTATAAACTCTCGAGTCCCTTTTCATCTGCACATTTTAAGGGACTCACAGGTACTATCCACTTATCTATCATTCATTTTTATTAGTTTATAATTTAAAATCATTTGTAAACACTTCCCATACATGATCTACGTTTGACATAACCGTTGTCTATGTGTAATTTTATGTTAACGGGAGATGTACTCAATGATGTAACTGCAATAAAATTATAAATTTAGTAATTGAGTTAAAGAAAATCCCAATTTGAGCTCCTCTTTTGAAGGTAGATTTTTGCCGGTATTTGTTTTAGATAAAAATCAAGTTCTTAGTGGAATTTGAGAAAAAATGATGAAATGTATGTTTGAGGAAAATGAGTTTAAAAAAATTTAGGCCAAAAGGGGCAAATGTATGTGTGTGTGTAATTAGGAAAAAAATTATTATGTGTAAAATTATTTTATTGAAAGAAAATGTGATTAAAAATGAATTTTAAATAACGAAAAAATTCGTATTTACATCGTTACAAAATAAATTTTCAAATTATGCTATGTTACGTTAATAATTAATAAAATGATGTGCAGTTTGTTAAATATTTTAAGAAATACTATATTCCAAGTTTAGAACCCAAACACACTTAGAGGTGTCAATTCGGGTGGTCCGGGCCGGGTCGGCCCGTCAACATGTGAGCCCGGTAACGGCCCGCGAACATGTGAGCTCGCCCGCTGCGGGTTCCGGGCCGGTTACGGGTCGGCCCACAATTTTGAACTACAACCCAGGCCCGCCCGCTGACCCATCCGGGTCGAGCCCGCGCGGGTCACGGGTCGCGGTTCGTTCCGATTTTGCCCGTATGATTGTATAAATAAAATTATAAAAATATAGAATTTTTCATATTTATAGCAAAAAATATTTTTTT